GCCCTACTCGCGATCGCTAATCTCCGAGTGGGAGGCGGCCAGGAAACTAAATAAGTAACGTGGTCCCCTGCCTTCTTCAGCGGTAGCCGCTAGGAAATTCCCAGATAGGGATACACATGCAGATATTTTTTTCCCCTCCCCTCCCCTCCCCTGTGCTTACAACGCCACACGCTGTCTCAACCCGGGAACAGCTCGCAAGAAATCCCCGACTCGAAACCCTTTGCTGCAAAAGAAAATAGTGAGCTTTCTTTAAATATAACCGTTTGCTTCGAAACCAGCAGCCCCATGGCAGGGAAAGCGGCCTGGCCTCGCCATGCCTGTCTGCAAGAGGGGTTCATCCCCCCACCCCAGCCCTGGGGGCTGCACCGCGGCAGCACCTCTCCCGCCCCACTTGGGCTTTGTCCTGCGAGCCCGCTACCGCTTTTGTTCAGCTCCCCGGTCCTTTCTAGCCAAAAAGAGGTCCTGCAAAGCTACCAGCCGCGCGGTGATATGAAACATCCCTTTCAATAGCAAAGATGGGCTCTGTAGCGCAAGGTGTCCGATTGTGGCATGCAATGACCTTAGCCCAAGTGCACCCCTTAATCCACCCCCACGGGTGTTTCATAGGAGAGGAGTAACCCCAAGCTGCTCATTGAGATTCGGCACACACGGACTCGGGGGGCAATATTTAGAGGGTGTCAGGCAGGGTCGTGTGACTGTACCACGCGGGCTGCAAGGGAGCAGGCTTGAATTCCACCCGCTCAGCCTGATTTCAAACTGTCCAAACCTCGTTTCATGACAGAGCATCTTATGAGAAGATTAAACCCCATAATGCCAGGCAGGAAGATTCTTTATCTAGATCTCTGTTTGCAAAAAGTATGATCCCGGAGACTGGAATGCAAAGAAGAGTTCCCCCAAGGCCTGAATTATTGTCACCAGGACAGAGGAGGGAGAGGCAGGGGTGGTAAAAGGGACATTGATAATGCGCTACAGCAAGTATTTAGAGCAAGCTTCTACATTTAAAATTCAAATACAGATCTTGAGTGCCTTGGAAAAGTGGCTCTGCTGTGCAAATAGTGCTTGGAAGGTCCTGGGTTTTTTGGAGAGTATGTGTGTGAATTGGCACATAGGGTTTCTGCACCTGAACAAATAGGGAGGGGGAGGAAAGGGGGGGAAGAAGCTGGGAAAAAAATGGAAGTGTCCTCTCTTCCAAGAGTTTCTGCATTTATTACATGAATCAGAATGACAATGCTGATCCTTTATTGGATTTTAATTAGAGAACCCAAACAAGCGCTGCTCAAAGAAGCAGATTTTCACACCTCTGCCAATTCACTGGCATGTTTGTAGAGCTGCTACACTACTAGATCTATTCATCAAGTCCCTGAATATGCAAACAAAGCTCTAGCCAGACCTTTACCGCCGGCTTGTAGGAAGGTGTAGTTTGCTAGCCGAGAGCTCCACATAAAGCACATAGCTTGTTTGTTGCCATGTCCTCCCTGAAGAGGCCTTGGAGATCTCGCTGCTTCATTTCTGAAGGAGAAGTGATAAAGTCGTTAGCAAATCAATAACGGTCTAATTTTCACCCTTCTTGTCCTTCCTGAGAAAGTCATTAGGAGACACTCCAAGGATTTATTTAACTCATAAGAGCTTCAGTACCAGCCACAGAGGCAAAATATAAAATCTGACCACCATTAGGAGATAAATCACCAGGGCTCTAAACTGGCATTGGGAGTAACTGGGAGAAACCAGGGGAAGGCAAGGGAGGGATGAGGAATGTCAACAGCTGTGGCAAAGACCCTTGCTACCTTGACATACCGTGGGCTACTGCCCAATACATAAAAAATGAGAGCTTTTAGGAACACTGCAGAGTCCTTCAGTTAAGTCAGAGACCAGCCTGGACCAGGGCAGGGGTGGCTCTCCCACCCCCCAGAGCGCAGCTGAGCTTCCAGGAAGGGATTTGCAAGCAAGACTGGAAGTCTCATCACTATTTCTGCTTCCTTTAAACCTGCAATTGTTCCTCTCAGTAGCACTGGAAAGCAGCAGAGGTTGCCGACAGCATTTAGTATCTAAACTCTTGAGTAACTCCAAAAGCTGGAGGAGGAGGTGAAGGAGGGATGTGCTTGTGTCTGGCACAGGCGTGGGGCTGCCCAGGGACCACACACCCCAGGACAGGGAGCAGCATCCTCCTTCCAGTGGGGTGGGAAAGGTGAGAGAGATGCTTTTTTGTGCAGAGAGGAGTGAACTGGAGCGCTGGGGATGCCAGGCAGGGGTGTTACGGGGGGTGACACGTGCCCCCGCAGCTGCTGTGCCAAGCAGGAGGGCAGCAAGCGCTGGGGCCAGCGTGGGGTCATGCCCAGGCCAATGGAGCGGGGCTCGGGCAATCCAGGCTGTTGCTTTCTAGTGGGGCCATGGGCAAATTCATGTGCTCCTCAGGGCAAAGCCTCCTCCTGCTCTCTGCTGTTTGCTGCCCTAGGTGGGCTCCTTGAGTATAAGGTGCGTGGGGACACTGCATGTTGTGAGCACAGACACTTGCCTAGAGGAGGAGAAACATTATGCTGGAAAAATTGCTCGGCTTTGAAAGCCTGAGAGTTATCCGACATCAGGTGTCGGGTGCAGGGAAAACACCATCCAGGTGGGAAGCTCTTCCGGAAGAGACTTGTTCTGGAACAGCTTTCTCCGTGGGAATATTTTGACCCATTTCCTTAATGAGACACAGCACCCCTGTAAGTCCTAACCCAGAGGGAGATGCGCTGGCTCAAATCCAGCAGGAAGGGGACTCGCTTGACCCGCTGAGTGCAAACAGGGCATGTTTGTAGATGAGGATGGAGGAATTTTGGAGGGGAATGAGGCTGCGTCCTGCACCCATGCCTCTCGGGGTGGGTCGGAGTGGCCAGGGAAGCAGTGTGTCCCCTCATGCCCCCATGCCCCGGCCTGGCGGGTGCCCCCTCTAACCCCGCTGTGCCTCTCTCCTTGCACAGAAAACTCGGTGGCGGCCAAATCAGGGGGCTGCTTCCCCGGCTCGGCCACAGTGCACCTGGAGCAAGGCGGCACCAAGCTGGTGAAGGACCTGAGTCCCGGGGACCGGGTGCTGGCAGCCGACGCGGAGGGCCG